GGCATTCTCCCTCAGCCCTGCCTCCCTCCAGTCAATCACCTGGCCCGGTGGGTTCTGCCCACTAAGCCACTCTCGTTCTGGCCATGACTCCCTTTGCCCACTCCTTCCACTTGATTGCTTTGGTTCGCAAATGTTGGCATCTGCTCAGTGTTGGTACTGTGCCAGGCAGAAGGTTACCCTGGTGCAGCCAACACGCAAGATCGCTGATCTCACAGAGAGGATCCACCCCCGTCTCCACTCAGGATCTCCCACTAGAGTGCAACCTTCTCCTAATTGATCTCTCATGCAGTCCCTCAACAATGATGTGGTGGCCCAGCGGCAGGGGCACATGCTACTAAGGGAAGCCCAGGTTCAATTCCTAGTCCAGCCTCAAGGCCAGGCACAGGGTGCATGCCTATAGTCCCAGCTGCTCGGGAGGCTGAGTCAGGAAGACTGAGTTTGAGGCTGGCCTGGGCAACACGACGAGACCTTGTCTAGACAAGCAGGTATCGTGGCAGCCCTGTAGTCCCAGCTGGGAGGTTGAGGCAGGAAGATCGTGACAGAGAGAGAGAGAGTTCACTTGTCCCGGGTGCCTGGTGCTGTCCTGGGCATGCCTGAAGAGTATAGAGAAGACCAGCATGGCTGCGGGCCACGGAGCAAGAGAAATGTAGGACTGGACGATCTAGGAGAGGCAGGTAGGGATCGGAACGTCTAGACTGGGTGGCCAGAAGCAATGAACAATTCCCTTCCAAAGGGAAAGGAAGCCATTGAAGGGCTTTAAGCAGGGGAGTGACGTGCTGCTGTTTGCGCCAGTCTCACCCCATCTGGTCTCATTAGGAGAGGAATATGGAACTCATCAATGATGGGCTAACATCCACAGGTGAGCATCGTTAAGAGCTCCCAGCACGGTGAGGAGCTGAAGCAATACTGCTCTCCAAGCCTGTGGCTGCGTGTGTCATCAGAGGGCAGGAGACAAAGTTGTCAACCACAGGCTTCCCTTGATATTGCTACTCAGACATGGCCCATCCTATCTCCCTCAGGTCGCAGGCTCTCTATCAATTTATGTCACCCATGATCTCCACTTGTCAGATGTTAGCGCTTTCTAAATTGTCACCGACTCTCTCCTGGCACTCCTCATGGCTGAATGTGGCTACATGTTGATGATTAGACAGAGATTTGCTTGTGAACGTGGAGAGTCAGCAGATGGCTTGACTGCCTAAGGCAAGTCTTAGAGCTGTCAGGCAAGTTAGTGCCTGGAACAGTCATTTTTCATCACTTAGTCACTGGAGGGGCAGGCGCTCAGGAGACAGGCTGTGTACTGGAGGGGAGAGAGAGAGAAATCATCCTCCAGGAGGAATGGCCACACTAAAATCCTCTCTCCTCCATTCTCCTCTTGGGATTTTGGGCAGGCACGCACACACACCCAATGTGTTTTTCAAGTCACCAGATTCAGGACTTGAGCCGCGAAGCTGATTGTGTGTGATCCAGCTGACTTAACCTCCACGCCATCTGCTGGTTTCAGAATCCACAGTTTGGGAACCAGCAGTTAGCGTAATGGCTATGTAGCTGGACTCCCACGTAGTCAACTGCGGTTCGCGTCCTGGACCCCGTGGCTTAAAACTCACACCAGGCGCGTGTGCGTGCGTGCCCAAGATCCCAAGAGGAGAATGG